ATTTTTCACTCTGAAATGAAAAATAATCTATATAAATATATTTTTAAATTAAAAAAACTACTGAACTACTGAAATAAATATTATTATATAAATATAAATAATACCAAAATATAAGAAATAAAAATAATTATAAAAATATAAAATATAAAAATAAAAATATAAAATAATTATAAAAATATAATTTCTAAATATAGAAATATTTTTAAATCCAAATCTAAGATTGATATAAATTTCAATGATATAAAATAAAATAAAATACAGAAAAAATAAAGAATATACCTTCGCCATCATTAGTATCTTTTTTACCAATATTTCCTTTCAAGGAATCATCTTTTTCAACACGAGAATCGTTTAGTTGACCTAAAGAAAATAATAAAACTAGAACTACTTTTATTACAAAGAAATAAATAGCAAAGTTAAAAAAAATAGCATTCAATATAAAATTATATTTAAAATAAAAAATAACTTACTACTTTGACTATTTTCATCACTTCTTGAATCTGATTTTCTACGACTATATCTATACATAAGTGTAGTAGGTATCCCTCCTTCCAAATCCATCGCACTATCGTCTAAATCACCGTATTCATCTGTAAATTCTTGAATACCTATTATAAAATAATATTTTTACTTTTAATTTATTAAAATAATTAAAATAAAATAAATACTTTATTATATGTACCATGTCGCTTTTTACCCTTATTTGATATATCAGAGCTATATTCTGATAATTGTCGTTTCCTTTGACCTTTCAATTTATCAATATGAATAGTCTCATCTAAAGATTTTGATCTATCTATTCTTTGTGCTTCGGAAGATACAGCTGGTCTTATTGGAAGTAGAGTTTTAATTCCACTTTGCGTTTTTTCTTCTCTAGTTTTCAAATCAAATAATGTTCCAGGTGACATTGCGCACGTATCTTCCCGTTTTTTCTCGATTTCATCATGCATATCTAAACTGTGACTAGAATTTGGAGACATTCTTTCTATTTTAATATCTTCTGTTTGCATGTCATTACATTTTTCTATCTGATCTATTTCATCCTCTATTTCTGCTCCTATTGGTATAGTTACTGTTGGTGATGCAGGTTGAATGGTATTTGTTACAGATGGTGATGAAACATATAATGATCTATCTTGAATAAACTTTCTTTTTCCAAATTTATTACATTTTTCTATCAAATTATTTGATTTTTTTGGAATAATATCTTCAACAGATTCTCCAATTGTTCTTGCATATGCTAAATCTGCAACATTTGGAGTAGATCCCAAAAATTTTGAATATTCTGGATGATAATGTTTTATATGCATTTGTAAAAGATTTTCTTTTCGAAATGTTTTACTACATCCCTCTTTTGGACATTTATAAGCACTGTCTTCCATTTCTACTCGAAGTCCACCAATAAAAACAGCTGTTAACAAATAAAATTAAAAATTATATTTTAACAACATTAAAGAAAATTTATATATTCTTCTATTATTATAATTATAAATTTGAATTAATATTAATTTGACTATTTGATTTTATTTAATTTAATACAAAAAAAATACAATTTATTTATTAATACTCACAATAAATTACTCCTAATACATGTAAGCATAAAAAAGTGAACTCAATAAAATTTGATGAATTATATAAAAATACAATAAAAAAATGGAATCTTACCACCATCTGTAATAGATGTAGTTGATGTAGATACTAAAGTTGTAACTGGTGTGTTTGTAGGAACAAGCAAAGAATTGTCAGTTACTGGAGTTGCCTTTGTTTTAGGTAATAACGTTTTTATTTTTTTAGGAGCATCCACAATAATATCTTGTTTTATTTTTTGATTTTGGTTCTTCTTTTTCCGATGAATACAAAAATCAAATTTTTCAGGATCAAAATCAAATTGTCCTTGATTTTCCATGAATGCCCTAATATCATTTTTTGATCTAAACTTTTTTCCACTAGATTTATGAAGAAATAAAACATCCCATTTTCCAGCAGATGTACCAGCTTTTCTTTGAGTAAAATGTTTTTGCCATCCAGGTGGTAATCTTTTATCTGCAACTATTATTGATCGACGTGGTCCTACAAAAATAAAATGTATCATACATTTTATTTATCAATGTCATTATATTATATAAAAAAAATAACAATATTTAATAACAATTTTTTTCTTTTGACATACCATCATTTCCATCTACTATATAAGATTCAGTTCCTTGTGGTTCTCCATCTACCCATTCAGGTCCTACATCTTCTATCAAATCTATGTCATTTTTAGATACTTCTTTTTTATTTTTTTTAGAATAAGCTTTTAGTTTTGATACATTAGTATCAAATCCTCGTAATAAATCTGTGCCTGGATCATAACAAGGCCCAAAT